GTCCCCTTGCTTCTCTGCAGCTGCTTCTCTGCATAGTAACCCCCCATTCATCCTTGTGGGGCTAATTCTAATATCACATTTAGTAGTTCTTCAAAGACCAGCCACTGTCACCTTTCCTAAACCAACCAAATTATTTATGGTTTTGGTTTCTTAAGGCACAGTACACATGCTTTTATTAAAGTAGGTTGTATTCAACTGTAATGTATTTACATGTGTCTCTCTCTCCCCTACCCACCTTCCCCAAGTTCCTCAAAGAGAACTCGTTCTTATCCACTCTAGCTCCTTTATTTAGCTGTGGCTGGCACATTATGGACATTTGGTATGTTTGTTAAAAGAAAAAATGTGTTTGGAAAGGAACATATGATCCCAAATTCCTCTTATATATGTTTTTTTTTTCCATTCTGAAAGAGTAATTCCCTTGTCCTGAAAAGAGCATCCTTTCTACTCCAGTCTTTACTGTCCAGTATTTACTTTAAAAGCTCTGTCCTTATTAACAGATATATAGCCGTTAACTTTATTTTTCATCTTGTTATTTTATCCATGTGTATATAACTTGTTTTGATTAGTTTTTTTTTTACTAATAATTGTTGTAACTCAATACAGAATATCTTAGTTTTTCATTTAAATTCATAAACATTTTTGGAGTGCCTGGGTGTCTCATTTGGTTGAGTGTCTGACTCCTGAGCTCAGCTCAGGTCTTGATCTCAGGGTCATGAGTTCAGGCCCCAAGTTGGGCTCCACAGTGGATATAAAGCCTACTTTTTAAAAATAAATAAATAATAAATTTATAAACATTTCTAGAGAAATATGGTAGGAAAATTAACCATTAAAATACGTTCAAGCATGAAAATGTATTATATTATAATAAAATTAAGTGGAATGGTAATAGAAGTCTAGGTAGAAAAAAATAAAATTTCTAACTTAGAGAATTCTTCATTCTTTTTATTAATGGATGATAATAGCTGTCAAATTTTTATGGTATTTATATTATATTGGATAGGTTTTTAAAAATGGATATAACAGTATTTTTAAATATGTTGGAAATTATATCTTTGTAACTACTTGAACTTTATGATAAATTTATATGTCAATTTAGAAAGGTTTAAAAGGGTACTTAGTTTTTCTATCTAGTTTTTTTAAATCCCTGTGGGTGTTATGTAAGCATAAAATCTGAGGCCTACTGACCTATATTCTCAGGGTTTAGAAGTACACTTTAGTGTTCTTGTCCAGTCCCACACATAATTTAGATAAGGTATCAAACTAAATCCCCCCAGAAATGTTTAACTTGTCCAAGTTGTAATATTAATTTATGTTATCAATATGGGCATGATTGATTTAAAGTAGTAATCCTTCCTAACTTAAGTGTCTTTCAGCTCCCACTCCTACAGTTAGTAAATATTTCATGACAAAGACTTGGTTTCCCTCCAAGTTCTTCTGCATTAATTTGAGGCATCCAGCTCAATGGCTATGACAGTTATGCTTACTTCGTCATGATTTTGAAATGTACTATGTATGAAAACCATTATCTCTGGGACAGATTACAAACTAAAGAAACTATGGGGGGAAAGAAAGCGGATTATTTTCCAATTACCCAGAACAAGAGCCTCAAAAAGTGACTGACATCGTATTCTCTAAGCATTAAAAAGTTTGGGTTCTATTAGTATAAGAATTTTACTTCTGCAGTTGAGTATGTTTACTCTTAAAATATACCTTGATAAATTTATCATTTTAAAATCTGACATAGTAGTCCATTATATGGCTCTGTCATAATTTATTTAACTGTTGATATACTGCTGAACATTTTACTATACAAAGCAATGCTTTAATGAGCATTCTTGTTCTTAGATCTTTGTACACTGGTGCATTATTTTCTTTGGGGCTCATTACTAGAAGTAGTACCTTTAGGTCAAAGAAAATGTGCATATTTTGTATTAGTACACAGTACAAAATATTAAGAGATACGACAAAATACCCTTTAAAAAATTTGTACCCCAGGCGAGGCTCCATACCTCAGGGGTTAGAGCACTGGTCTCGTAAAAAATTTGTACCCCAAAAAACCCACCCACCAACAGAAAATGCCCATTTCCCTATACTTTCTCTAACTCTGGATATTATCAGACTTTCGACTTTTTTGCAAATTCAAAAAATTTAACATGCACACCAAAATGAGGTCACAGTGATTTTCACCTTCTTAATGTGTCCATGATCATTTCCCTACTTAAACTGCAGTACTCCACTCAGCACTCCTAAATCCCCCTAAACTATTTTATATTCTATAGATGTACTACTTTACAAAATTCTATTATTTATTTCTCTCCCCTTACTCTATAGAGTATAGGCTCCAAAAAGTTTTGGGTTTTATCTGTCTTTTTCACTAATGAACAGTGCTTTCCACATGACAGACACATTTTTAAGATTTTATTTTATTTTTTTTAAAGATTTTATTTATTTATTTGACAGAGAGAGAGCACAAGCAGGCAGAGAGGCAGGCAGAGGCAGAGAGAGAAGCAGGCTCCCCACCGAGCAAGGAGCCCGACGCGGGGCCAGACCCCAGGACCCTGAGATCGCGACCCGAGCCGAAGGCAGCAGCTTAACCCACTGAGCCACCCGGGCGCCCCTTAAGATTTTATTTTTAAGTAATTTATACCCAACATGGGACTCAGACTCGTAACCCTGAGATCAAGAGTTGCATGCTCTTCTGACTGAACGAGCTAGGCTCTCAGACATTCACATATTTATTGAACTGAATGACATGGCACTTGTATGATACACACGAATTTCAGTCATGGTGGGTATGTTTCTTCTTTGACCCATATGTCCCTAGTGTTACATACATCTTACCTTATCATAATAAGAAAGTACCTTTAGGAGCAACAACTCCTTAGGGCACATTACACCAGACAAAACACCATGTTTGGCTATTAGCAGGCCAGTGGGTAAAGGAAAATATGCTCCTTGCTTCTGTGGACTCCCTGGGCAGTTGATCAAGACAGTGCAGCCTTGCCAATGAGGGCCATCCAACCACCACCTTGCTTATTTTAGCCCTTCCCTTCCTGTTTCTCTCCTGCGAATGCCTGGGGTGAGGGGGGGGGAGCCTAGGAACAATAACCAACCCTAGTAAAGCAGACACTCCACCCAGGCAAGTGACTGCCAGCACTCATCTTCCCCACACCAGACCCAACCCACTCCCTACCAGGCCTTTGGCCCCACACCCTTTGCAGTAACAATGGCAGCCTTAGTGAGAGAGAGAACTAAGTTTTGGTAGAGCACCAAGTTTCATTGTTTTCCTGAAGCCAGATTTTGGATGTGAGATACAGGAGAGAGCAAGCAAAGGATAGTGACAGATCTGAGTAGCTGCAGTTGCTACTCTATAAAACATTTAAGTATTCATCCACTGTTTTGCTGGTAAGAAATTTTGTGATACAAAAATTCTTAGCTGTTATTTCCCTAATATTTGTCAACATCTGTAGTATCTATTCTCCCTTTTGGCAGCATATCCTATCAGAACTACACCAAATAAGGACCTATTGAATATTTTCATTGTGATATTTTAATGGAGAGGCTGTTTTCTATTATAGCAGTATTCAGACTAATGAGGGATTTGCAATGCTATTAGCCTTCAACATAATCCAGGCGTGGTGGGGCGGGGGGGAGGAAATGATCACTGGGTACCACTGGCAGGCCTAAGTAACAAGAAAAGAACGTGGCAGAAGTAGTGTGTTCTAAGGAAACTGCATATTGCACTTATCTCAGATTCCAGTTAGTGATGAGATGCTTTATTCCCAGTTCACTCCCTATTTCATTTTCACTCCCGGAAAGAACAGTGTAGGAGTAAATTTTGATGACAAAGTTCTGGAAAACGGATAGAGTTTCCTCAGGAATTTTAGATATTCCAGAACAGGGATTTGAACAAGAAGAGACCTGGTGGATAGAGTAGGAAAATTTTATTACAAATGTCAAAGTGTAGTAGAGTGGGAATAACTGAGACCAGAAACAGCTTCACTTAATTTGCAGTGGGCGGTAAAGACAGGCACCACGCCAGCATCACCACTTTATAATAATAAATCTTTCTTCTCTGGTGATGTTGTGAAAGGCACATGGTAAGGTTGCATCACTATGGTGAAATATCACAAAAGGGGTGGGACTGTCTAGAGAAGCATCTGTGTTTGGAGAAGGATCATGCTACAAATTACAGTCCAGAACACCCTGACTATACAGCACAGCAGTAATCTGGAATGTAACACTGGAAACAAATGTCATCAGCCAGTTGGTGTATGCTGGTATCTTAACAAAATATTCAAGATAAGGTATTTGCTGGCACTTTAGCATATATTATCCCTGTTATTAGAGGATAGTAGTAAACTCAAACTTCTCACTTCTGTTCAAGAGCCAATTTTGCCCATTTGTGTTGCTTCCTTACAAATGTCAGCTGTGTAGCCAGGTAACTGATCCTTAGGATGCTTTTTGTCATTAAAGCAAAGAAATTAAAGTAGAAACCAGATGTTAGCTATTGAGAAGTGGGAATGTCAGGGAAACATTTACCTACTTCCTCCTTTTTCCTAACTACCTGCCTTACCCCCACACTTCCCAAATGGTAATTTTTTTAACTCATCCACCATTTAGGAGATGCTATCAGTGAACCAAAGGGCCACACATAAATGCTTCTGTTTTCCTCAGCGATATCTATTAGGTGATTAGGTCTAAAAAAATGAAGTCCTACCTAACTTTTCATAAGAGGAAAAATTTAGAACATGTAGCCTTACAAATTAACACCTCCACTGATTAAAGAATGTTGACAAGATCTAGATGCTTACGTGAACTCTCTCAACTTTGTTTCAGTGAAAAGACGCACAAGAAATTAATGGGATAATTATGTAAGGATTGAATAGTTCGTTCTTTATAGAAATTGTTATTTTAGTTCTTAACCTACAATGGAAATACTCCAGCAATATGCTTTGTAAATTCATTCTTGAATATTAATAACTGTTTTCTCATTGAAGGAAAAAACTTAGCTGTATCCAACAATTCAGATATGGCGGAAGTGAAGTCAATGTTCCGGGAAGTTCTTCCAAAACAAGGTATCTAAATCGCAAATACTTAGGTCACAGACTATTATAGGGACCGAAATAAAAAGTAGTAGGCATGGCATATAACAGGCTCAATACTAAACATTGTATTTTGTATCCTGTATGCCACATTTACTGTGCACTTATCATTACTATGTTTCTCTTAGGAGTAGGTTATAAAGAATTCATCCATTGCTTTTTCCCCCCAGTAAAAAGATGACAAATGAAGCACTGTTTCTTAGACCTAGAAATCCAGTTGTACTCAGATTTGCAGATAAAAACATGAAATTGTCAGTGAAAAAAAAAAGTGTAATTCACTAATGTTAAATAAGGTCTGAAAGTGGGGAAAAAGAAACCTAAGTCAAGCAATTGTTAAATGCTGATGTCGTAAGTTAAACATTTATATTATTTGAATATTCATATTAATTATATATTTATATTATATGCTTATATATTATATTATATATTAACAAATATTAATACCATGCTTTTACTATGTAAGTATTCGTATGCACTATGTATTTGTCCCAAATCTTTTTGCAAATTAAACATCTGATACAAAATGTTGTATGTCTCATAGGTAACGTAGAATGTTAGGTAGGAAGTTTAAAATGTCATCCTTATAAACTCCCTAGAATTAAATGTTGATATATTTGAAATAACTAAAAACAAGAGTTTTCATTGACAATGGATTAAGTCGTTAGATGCTCATTCTAGCTGCAAATCCAAACCACCATACAACTGGGTCATCTCACTAAACCATTTCTTTTTAAACTTAGGGCAGTTGTCAGTGGAAGATATAACCACAATGGTGCTGTGTAAACCTAAACTTTTGCCCTTAAAATCTCTGACTCTGGAAAAACTGGAGAAAATGCAGCAAGCAGCCCAGGATACGATTCGCCAACAAGAAGTGGCAGAGAAGGAACAACAGCAAATAACTCACTGAATGGTAACTTAGCACTTCTGTAGGATATTCTGCCTTACTATTAACAATAGCTAGACAATAATTTGCCTCTGTATGCTAAAGATGGTGTGTTTAATAAAACTGATAGTGCTTATAAAATAAAAATACCCAAGACTAACGAAACTTGTGAATTTAGACCCTCTAGTTTGTACTGAACATGAGCAATTAAAAAACTGAATCCAAATTTTATAGTTTTTTTTTCTTTTACCCAAGTTTTTAGAACTATAAATTACGGTTTCACTATTCCTATGACTGTGAGTCTTATAGATAACATTCATAGGTACAAGTGACTAAGTGAAACTTTTATATTCAGGTAATCTTTACATGTTTATTAAAAACTGAATTTGAAGATATGTTCTAATCTCGTACAAAACGTTTTTGGTGCTTTTACATCATCATCTAATTTTAAAACTTGTTTATGAATTTTGTGTTTCATATTTAAGGCTTTTTTTTTTAAGATTTTATTTATTTATTTGACAGAGAGAGCTCACAATAGACAGAGAGAGAGAGGAGGGAAGCAGGCTCCCTGCTAAGCAGAGAGCCCGAGGTGGGGCTCGATCCCAGGACCCCGGGATCATGACCTGAGGCGAAGGCAGAGGCTTCAATCCACTGAGCCACCAGGCGCCCCGTATTTAAGGCTATTTTGCCTGATCAGCTGGTCCTCCTGGCAATGACAAAACTGTATCACTTAAATCTGATTTTTAAGAAACCTTCACTTATAAAGTAGTCCCCTGAGCTTTTCATGATACTGACTTTAAGGACTAAATTACCGTGCTACCTTTATTTATCCAGGTATCAAACACAATTAAAACCCTAAAAATAGAAAAAAAATATGGACTTGAAAGAGCCCATGAGATAAATATGAACATTAAATTTGGGGTTTTAGTGCTAAAAGCCTGCCTAAACCTATAATGGGCATATTCCTAAGAATATATTTGTAAATCTGAATATAATTCTTGGCTGGTTGCTACAATCAATAATAGACAATTTAAATTAGCACACACCTTGAGGCCTTGCTGAGTTTTGCTCTGCAAAAGAGGTCAGAAATGTGATCATTCTTTAGAGAACTATTATTTATTGGTAGATACTATCTTCTTAGACACTGGATAAATGTAAAAATTTTTGAGTTTCTGAAGAATAATTTTTTATAACACAAACACTGGTAACAGAACTTAAGGATAACGAAGGTATTGTATTTTAGAAATTTCACTGGGCTTTAAAGAAGATCAAAAAACCAAGTATGTATGCATTTCCCACAGATAGTATTAAAAGAATTTACTATTATACTTTTGATTTAAAAGTTTGCAAAGAACAAAGTTAAATTCACTAGGTTCAAATACACTCTCTTATAGGATTTAAAATTTGCTGTGTAAAATAAGTTTTTAAAAAGACCTAAGATATAGGTACTCCCAATAAAGAATCAACACTGCTTCACATGTTTTATTTTGTCATACATTCTTTTAGAACCGGGTTCATTTTTCCAGTTTTGTAGAAAAATAGATGTTCCAGCCACCATTTATTTAACTGTCTAGTCTTTAAGACCAATCAATATGTTCCCTGGAAAAATGAATAAGTCTTATGACTAACTCATTTTCTTAAAATTCTTTAAGACAAAGAAATAACTTTTTTTTTTTTTAACTCCCAAAGCACAGTATTCCAACAGCAGCAGCCAACATGGGGTTTTAGCAGCTTAACTTCACCCCCTAAATAAAGCTTTGTATAAACCAGTGATTTTACTACAAAAACACTGTCCTTGAAAGAAAGGAGTGGCAGTCAGACATCAATGCAAAACTTGGAATGATTAGGTCATAAACATGGCACTTACAAAAGGTAGCTTATGAGAATATTCCACTTAAGAAGTGGTTACTCTTCTGTCCCTCCTTTACACCCTCCAAAAAAAAAAAAAAGAAGAAGAAGAAGAAGAAAAGATAAAAAGGAAAACACTTCCTTTAAAAATTCCCTTTAAATTTTAAGTTTATAAAATTTCAGAAATGCCTTGTACCCAAAACAAGTGCTTCAAAAAAAAAAAAAAAAACCAACAAAAAACCTGTGCTAACAACTCTTACAATTCAGATATATTTATATATTTTTTAATAACATCTTAGACTGTAAGAGTTCTTATATTCAGTAGCTCTCTGGTTTAAGACGACCTCCGTCTCCTTCACTTACAAAACGTTTTCTGCCCCTGTAATGAAAAGAACACAAACATGAAAATAGATAACCAATTCTGACTATAGATCAAAATCAAAAAAGCCTTGGGTTCCTAATGGTTTTGAAGGGTTTTACTCTTTAAAAATAAAAAAAAAAGTGAGCACACCTCTAATTCCTTTGAGAAAGACGCTTTCCCTACTATATACCCTAGGATATAACAAATCAAATGAACTGCTAATCTAAGCAGTTTTTAGTTAAATAAAAGCTTAATTATTGAAGTAAGTTTATTGTCCAAATGGAGTCATGTTGATAAGTTAAAATATAAAGCAAACATGCTATTTAGAATTTTAATATTTACTCCTACTATGTTATTAGTATTATTTGAAAACTGAACAGTGAGCCAAAGAAACACTAACATAATTTGGAATTGTGTAAACTAGAGCTATAGAACCTATGAAAATGTCCATTTTTAAAAAATTTTTTAAGTTTCTTCTCAAATGTAGAAAAGCCATAACCTGTACATGGAAAAACAAATCAGAATCCAATTAATTCCAGTCTATGCTCCATTTTGGAATTCCTACTATTTCAAACTCAAGACACCTTGCTTCAACCCAGGAGGAATAGTTGACCAGCAATCTAAAGCAGGAAGTGGAAACAGAGTTTGCTCAGGATTAGCCCTCTTTCTCTGACTAACATGCACTAGCACTCAAGACCTCACACAAATGTGTGCTTCACCCAAATAAGCTAATGGGTAGAGGATAAAAAGTCACTTCAATGGCAAACAAAGTACTTTTAGGTATCTCCTCAACTGATCCTTGAGAGTAAGTAAAGCCAAAAGAGAAATGACCAGTTAGATTTCTGAACAGATGCTGAAAAATTTTAAAAGCTAGTGCCTTTTCATATTAAGTCTAAGTGGAAATCAGCTACATTTTCCTGCATATAAAGGCTTCAGACTATAATATTAGGAGACTGAGATGGGGAACAAAGCAGTAAGTAAGAACCCTTACCAAAGCTGGCAGTATTTACTGATGTATACCACTTGGCACATGAGTGATGCCATCACCAAGCAAAGGTCTATATATATATTTTTAGAGATCTATATTTTCAAACTTTTTTTTTTATCAAAGTCATTAAACCCTATCTTCCTCCTCCTCTATCAATGACTTTTAAACTTTACAGAGAGACACTACCAGCAACTATTTTTTCTGAGATTTCTCACAATCGACTTCAATAAAAATAGACAAAGCTTTGCAATTTTTTCGGATTAAAAATTACGAAGACTTAAAATGTATATAAAGCAGACATACACAAATTTACCTATTACTAACATTTACACCTATTTATAATTTCATTATAAACTTTATTTTAACCACAAAAAACCTCATCAACTCCTAAAGAGTTAGATCTCAGTAGTACAAATGTATTATCTTCAAAGAATCACACACATCAACTTTCCAATGAGGTTAAGATTCAATTAGACTTAATTCTCCATTCCATGAAGGAGAAAAAGGAAGCTACATGGAGTACAGGAATGAGCCTAGATCTTTGAGCCAGGAAAGGTCTGGATTCATCCTTGGCCTCTATAATGTGTGACTTTAGGAAAGGTGTATCACACACTTCCTTAAACCTCAATTTTCTTATCTTACTAGTGTTAATATCTACTCTAAAATAATATTTCAAGTATGTAGAACAGAGCCTGGTACACAGAACTACTACACAAAGTTAGTTTCCTTCCAGTGAACAAGGGCTTCATGAAGTAGGCATGTATAGATTTACAAGGGGGCAAAATAAGTTTCGCCCCTGTTTTTCCATAAACTCAAAACTTGATTTTCACTCTTAAGTAGCTTTAGGGGAGATGTTATTTTTCTGACAGAATTCCAGAATTCTTCTGGAATGATAGAAAATTAGCTTAGCTTTCCAAGCACTTAGCCAGTATCTTATGTGAAAGAAGTAATAAAGTACCTTGAAGGACAAAGATCTCTGAGTTGTTTGGAAATTATTCCAGCCTGAAAACATTCTTCTACAAATCGCTCAAGCACAGAGTATGAATGTGGAACATCCAGATTAATGTCTGGGATTTCATTGTAAATCCTCTCATAACCCTAAAACAAAATTATATACAGAATGTTAGCCCATATGAAATACATAATGCCATACAACCTATCACTGTCATCAAGCTACATTTAAGGCCTTAGCTCTTCACAAAATTAGACTGAAGTCAGATCTGATCCTTGAAAAGTACAGACAGCAGGTATGTTTGTTATAGAATGTTTTCTCTAAAATTGTTCTCTCAAGAGAGTTTAGGCAGATATCAGACATTGGACACATTTCTTCATCTACTTCTCTATATACATTTATTACACTTTTTAAAAATACAAGGCAAGGGGTGCCTGGGTGACTCAGTCATTAAGCATCTGCCTTGGGCTCAGGTCGTAATCCCAGGGTCCTGGGATTGAGCCCCACACAGGCAGGAAGCCTGCTTCTTCCTCTCCCTCTGCCCCTGTCTGTGTTCCCTCTCTCACTGTGTTTCTGTCAAATAAATAAATAAAATATTAAAAAATACAAGATAAGTAAGAACTTCACTAATATTTTAAATAGGAATAAATTAAAGTGTATTTGTTAAAAGATCATGTTCATGTTGTTTCTAGATATAAAACAGAATCTCTCATATCTTAAAAGTAGAACTCTTGAGGAAGAACAATCACATCTTTAAAAAACCCACTGAAGAGTTACTTTCAAGAAATGGCTACAAGGGGTCAAACATAATCACAACCATTTAAAAAAACAAAACAAAAAAACAACTACAGGCACAGTATTATTAAACATACCTGAAAGAACATTTCATTGACAATTCATAATCTTTATTCAATCATTATACATTGAAGTATTATATATTTAAGCCTAAGAATTATGCAAAATAATGTTATACTTACTCTTTTCATTTGGTCGAGAGTAATGGTAGAAGATTTCCAAAGAGATTTTAATAAATCCAAAATCATCTTAAATGTACTTTCTCCAGTTGACTCTAAAACCATTACAATGGCCTAAAAATTGAACGAATGAATGAATCTTTGGTCATTAATTCATATAAAGAAAGTGCTCCTAAAATATATCAGATTCCTTTTGTCTGACATGTAATTATAATCACTATAAGAAATTAAAAGCAACTTACTCCCTTAATATTAAAATTTAAAAAAAAAAGATATGCTATTAAAGAAGCATTAAGTCACTGTAGTGCAAAAAGGAACACTTAATAATTCTCTGTGGAATGTCAAAGGAATCTTACTTCATATACAAGCTCATGGTGAAAATGAGGTACTTCCAGTTCCTTAAGGCAATGTTCAGCTTCAGATATGTCTCCAGAGAGTAAATACTCTTTCAGCAGCATATCAATCTATTAAATTTAAAAATTAAGATATGTTAGAATTCTTAGTTTTTATTTACTTCTTAAAGACTTTATTCATTCATTTTTAGAGAGAGCACACATGTGTGCACAGAGGGGGAGGGAGAGAGAGGAAGATTCTCAAGCAGACTCCACACCAACCAAGCACAGAGCCCGAGGTGGGGCTCCATCCCACAACTGCTAGACCAGGACCTGGGCCAAAACCAAGAGTCTGATGCTTAAATGACTGAGCAACCAAGGTGCCCCTAGAATTCCTATTTAAAAAAAAAAAATCTGTGCTTTTTGTCTATAGGATTTACTTATTCTCAAAGCAGGTCACAAATAGCTGTGTAAGAACATATAGACTCGAGACAACACTATCATGACAAATTTTTTTAATAATCAAAAAGTAAGCCCCTGATGGCAGCCACCTGGCTCCTGCGTGTCCTGTGGTTCATGTCAGTCACCACAGGACCTTGGAGAGCTGCTGCCATCGCCACCACCAGTATGGAGGAGACACTTAAGTGCAAGAACCTCAAACTGGAACAATATATTTGTGAAGATCCAAAAATAAATGATGCTACACAAGAACCAGTTAACTGTACAAACTACACAGCTCATGTTCCTTGTTTTCCAGCACCCAACATAACTTGTAAGGATTTTGGTGGCAGTGAAACATGTTTTACTGGAAATGAAGTTGGTTTTCTAAAGCCTGTATCTTGCCGAAATGTAGTCCTTTCCATTCAGCCAGCAGATGGGAAAGAGGAAAAGGAACCCCAGAAATGGCTATTCATACAAGGTGGCAGTTGCATCGTCTCTTTTCCTCAAATGGTTGGGAGCAGACTGAGTTTACCTTGGATACCCTGCCTTGGGATTTGGGCTTCCTTGATTTCAACAGAGCACTCTCAGTATGTGAATTTCCAGATTTTCCTTTTTCTTCTTCAAATACCACCTTGTGGATTCTGTGTAACTCTCTGTTTTATTTTGTTTTGTTGTTTTACTTAAAAGCATATTATTTAATTGGACTTTGAGAATTGTGTGATAACTGAGTCTTAGACACTGTCTCTATTATTACTCTCTTATTACCCCGATACGCCTCTTCCAAAGGCAAGTTGCCCCTTGTCATTTTCACTTCTGAAAAATAAGAGTATGACTTATTCACACACACACAAAAAATACATCCTCAATTTTTAAGTAGTTCATAATTATAAAGAAAATGCAGTACTTTAGTGTGTCTTAATAATCACTGAGATCTAGGAATAGACTCAAGATGTACATGGCCTGAGTTGCGACCATAATGCTTCAATGTTCACTTTAAAAAAGGGATATTAAAGACCACTAGAGGGCACTGACTGAAAGTCTCAAGATGGATTTTTAATGAAGTATCACAAACTTTCACTTCCATCAGGATGACCTTAACAGTGCACTGGCAGCCAAAAAATAAGTGATGATAACAGAGCTTTACGAGATGGAGCAAAATATGTATATACTCTCTCTTTTCTCTACAGCTAAGGATTTGAAACCAATTATCTAAAACATCAGTAATTCAGCTTCTAGTTGTAGCTAAAGAAGCAAGACTTGACTTTCTTTTTTTTTTTTTTTAAGATTTTATCTATTTATTTGAGAGAGAGGCAGTGAGAGAGAGCATGAGCGAGGAGAAGGTCAGAGGGAGAAGCAGACTCCCCGTGGAGCTGGAAGCCCGACTCGGGACTCGATCCCGGGACTCCGGGATCATGACCTGAGCCGAAAGCAGTCGTCCAACCAACTGAGCCACCCAGGTGTCCCAAGACTTGACTTTCTTGTTTAAATAAATCTCTATGGCTCCAGAGAGAAGGAGGAAAAGTTTTCCAGCACAAGAATTTCATCAAGAATGTTCTTCCCTATACACTGCCTTTTAAAATCACTTTTGCAGCTAGTACACAATTAATGAATATTGACTGACTGAATTAAATAATCTCATTTAAGTATCTTTGACTTCAACTTCTGTAACGTACTTTCATGAAAGGTAAAGTAAAATTTGATCACTAGAATACATCCTAATGAATAATTCCTATTTTTCTGCTTTAGGAAAGTAAATATTTAAAGCATGGCATTTGAAGTGTTTTTACTTTATAAATGTAAATTAATGTATTTAATAGATTGTATCATTTAGAGTTTTGTGACTTTGTTATGCAACTTTAAGTATTTAAATGTTTCCCATTAGGTTCAATGCATTTTTTTGAGAAAGATAAATTATAAACATATGTATGCATTTCTAAAAGTCCTCTTTGTCCAACTCATCCTTCCAGGCAAAAATAAATGAATATCCAAATAATGCAACCCTGAAACTCATATTGGCAGTTTTACTTCGATTTTTATCTTGACTGTTTTTTGCTTGAGATAATTCATATAAAATAGTTTGACAGTTTCTCAAAATAATGATTTTAGGATAGTATTACCATCTTTTTTTTTTTTTTTTAAGTAATCTCTACCCCAACATGAGGCTCTGACTCACAACCCTGAGATCAAGAATTCCAAGTTCCTTCAACTGAGAAAGCCAGGTGCCCTCAGTATTACCATCTTAACAATCTTACATCTTTCAATCCATAAATATAGGGTATCTGGATAGCTTTTTATTTATTTAGTTCTTAATTTATTTCAACAATGTTTTACAGTTTTTGGTATATAAGAACTGTAATTCTCTTGTTAAATTTATTCCTAAGTATATTACTGTTTTTTATTCTATTGTAAAAGCAATTGTTTCCTAATTTCACTTCATATCATTGCTAGTGTACAGAACTAGAACTGAATACTGTATATTGATCTTATACCCTACAACCCTGCTGAATTCATTTATTAGTTGACAGTTGGTTTTTTGTTTTTGTTTTTTTTATAGATTCATTCAGATTTCCTGTATATAGATCATGTCATCTGGAAATAGAGATAGTTTTACTTCTTCCTTTCCCACTTAGATGCCTTTTATGTCATTTTCTTGCCAAAATGCCTTGGTATTTTTTTTTTTTTTTTTAAAGATTTTATTGATTTATTCAACAGAGAGAGAGATCACAAGTAGGCAGAGAAGCAGGCAGAGAGAGAGGGGGAAGCAGGGTCCCTGCTGTGCAGGGAGCCTGATGTGGGGCTCGATCCCAGGACCCTGAGATCGTGACCTGAGCTGAAGGCAGAGGCTTAACCCACTGAGCCACCCAGGCGCCCCAATGCCTTGGTATCTTGACTGTGTTTACAGCTCAATCTTTCCAACTTGAAAAAATTTTTAAAAGCAGATGTTGCAATCATGACATTACAAACCCCAACTTACCTACTTTAAGATATATAAAAGCAAACTGGTCAAAAATCTGTACTTTCAGCTCCTTAAACCCCAAACTAGGTACACATATCATTAAAAGATTAAATATCAAAACTATAGTCACATGAAAAGATTATACTCAAAAATCAGAAGCACATGAGCTATAAATCTTCTAATTTTCTTAACAATCTGCAAATTAAGATTAAATACTTTTTCTGGCTTAAAGTTCTAGAACGTTACTTTATTACCAGAAAAAAAGATCCATAGAGAATAAATCTGGCATCTTGATTATTTTTACTTTTAAAACATGAATACAGGTAGTGACCTTCCTTAGAAAAATCTACCACTCTGTTCTACTCTAGTGTTCATAACTCATAACTTATGATCTGAGAGTATCCAGTTTCAAGCCACTCATTTAAAAATGTAGTTACTTACTGAATAACTACAAGACAGAAAGTCTTATTTTCACAGTATTTGAAAAATTTTAAAAACCAATATAAGACTTCAGACATTCCTTTGAGGTTCAAACATAGCCTTCTTATGAAAGCCCTTTTAACTTAACTCAGTCTTATTTTTAAGTTAGGGAAACCTTAAAAATTTAATAACAATTATATAATTCATGTATAATTTAAAGCACTAGGGTATAAAGCCAAATATATAAAGGTTATCCAATTTTCCATTGTAGCTTTAAGACTGAACTTAATTTTTTTTTTTTAAGATTTTATTTATTTATTTGACAGAGATCTCAGGTAGGCATAGAGGCAGGCAGAAAGAGAGAGAAAGGGAAGCAGGCTCCCTGCTGAGCAGAGGCTCAATCCCAAGACCCTGGGACCATGACCTGAGCCCAAGCAGAGGTTTTAACCCACTGAGCCACCCAGGTGCCCCTGAACTTAATTTTTGTCTGCAAAAATACCAGCTAGAGGGTATAGTTTACTCCCCTAGAGAAATACATGTAAATTAAATTAAAGACAATACCCAGTAGTTGTTACCTCTTTAACAAGATGATTAACAGACTGCTGCCCACCTCCAGAACCCCACACACTGTCTTTGCGCTTTCCACCTTTAGACATACTCAGGAGTACAGTAGCCTTGTCCAGAGCAGCTCTACCAAAAAAAAATAACAATAATAAATAACTTTGACAACTTGGACATGATTGAGGCTGACCTAAAAGCTTTCAGGTAACCTAAAAGAAACCTAAAATTCAAAAGTCTTTTAAAAAACTACTTTTTAAAATAAAAAGTTGGGAGCAAAAAAAAAAAAAGAAAATTTGCTTTTCATGTTAATATTCTCATACTCTTATTTTCTTTTCTAGTCAACAGAAATCTAACCTTATTGACCTTATTACAAAATAATTCATCTATACTGAAGAGAAACATTTCGCATAAAACTTAACTTCTATAGATCTATGCATTCCCACCAGGGAAACCACTCCACTCTGATCTGAGTAGTCCTAGGAAAATTACCATCTACACCTGAGAAAACCTAACACATGGCTAAGACCAAATCGAAATTTCCAGAAAGTTATAAAAATCATACAGGATGACTCCCAAATATTACATTTAGCTTAAAATTAATTATACCAAAGAACAAGAGTAAAAAACATTATTTCCTAATATTGCTGTAGCAGATAAATATAAAATAAAATTGAAAATGGGCTCCTTTGTTAATACTGTCCATCTTACTAGAGTATTAGTTACAGAATGCAATTCCTGAATGAAAACTTGGGGAGACCTTAAACATTCTCAGTCCAATCCTTCCGTTTTATAAATAAGGAAACTGAGGCCCAGAGAAGAGTGGTGTGACATAAAGGTAGCTAATGGTTTAGCTAAAATCCCCAACTTCTACATTATAGTACTGTCCTCTTCCTGTTATAGCATGTCAACAATCTCAATTTTGTTTTAGCAGCAGAGAATGCACACAAATGACAGAGATCTACAATGTAATTCAAATGTCATTTCAATAAAATCCTGCAGAATTTTCCCCTTTCGAAATTCTAAGTAGAAAAATTAATTTACTTACCTAGCCTGTACACAATCTACAGTTCCTTTGTAACTATCAATATAGGTATTACATAAAATTCCATCTCCAACAGCTCTAGCAATAAACTGGCCCACCAACTACAATAAGAAAAAAAAAATCTATATAAAAAAATCTAAAATGAACCTTTACAGGACACAATTTCTAAACACATAAATGATGAAGAATGGCTGAACTACACAATCAGTATCTAAGATATATAGGAATATTCAAAGACATCTACTTAGCACCTGCTAGTTATGCTCAGCATACTCCTACATCTTACCCTTCAAGATGAGTACTATGGGCGGGGGCACATTGCTCCATTCTAATCCCCCAACACCTTTGCACACTGCCTGAAACAGTGTATCATCAAAATTACTCGTTAAGCCAATGGCCTAAACTCAAGAGAACAAACAAAAAAAATGGGACTAGGTGTTCTCAAAAAATGATTAAAAGAATTTATTATATGGAGAAAACTTTGTGTAGAAATTTCTGTCTGAAAGTATATCATAGCATTACTTATTTTTGTTGTTATTATTAAAGTAGGCTCCACACCCAATTTGGGGGCCTGAACTCATGACCCTGAGACCAAGAGTCTTATGCTCGACAGACAGAACCAGCAAAGTACTCCTTTTCATAGCATGATTTCTTAAAAAATTGGAAACGACTTTAGTGTCCAAGAATAAAGGATAGATATGTAAGATGGTACATTATATGGCCATTAGGCAATGCGTTTACATTTTATGGTTTAAGAAAAATCAAGTTTATAAATTAGAATATACAATGTAATTCATTAAAATGCAAGGATATATAAAAACCATACACTGATATATACCCATAGAAAGTAAAATAGATTTAACAACAAAATGTTAAAAGTGGTTATTTTTGCCAGCCTTGCTTCCTTTTGACCTTTATTTTTTAAAAATTCCATAATATGTATTTAAGTAATCACTTCTTAAATATAAGAGTACTGCTATAAAAAGAAAAAAAAGTCAATGTCTGAATCATTGCTCAATACCTTATAAAAGACTACTGTCTAAGAAAAGTGTTAACAGAAAAAGCATTTAGGAATTAAACTACCTATACTCTATTCCTAAATTAACGTTTAAGTAAAGTGCTCCTACCTTGATTTAAAAGTTGGTTAAGTAAATACCAACGATTTCACACATTTTCAATTTCAAACCAGAAAGTCACATTATAGTATCAGCATGTATTAAATCTAATAAAAGTATAAGGCTTTGAGGACAAAATCTAAACAGAAACATAAATCATTAATTTTCTAATTGTTTACCCACAAAACTACAAAAGGGAACAGAAAACATCAGTTAAGCCAATTCAATCTTCAATTACAACAATCTACATATTTTTAAAATCACAGCTCATATAACAGCTTAACCACATGTAACAGAAAATATACAGACAGCAAAAACAAAATGACCTATAAACTATACAGAGCATGGGTGGAAAGCGGGATATAAAATTATAGTATGATGAAAACTACATTTGAAAAAGAAAAAGAAAAGAAGAACAGCTAGACAAAAATACACTAAAATGACAGAGGGCTATTTTTGTGTGGTAAAAAATATGGGCCATTTTGTCCTCTTTATCTACTAAAATTTCCTAGGAGCATGTATTATGTCTATAATTGGAAGTGTAGTGGGGGAGAGAATGAATAAAAAGAAGAGTCATACAAACCTGTGGTGCTCTAGGAGTATCCAATGCCAATTCAGGTAGATCCTTCAATAATTTGTCAAATGATTTTTCTACATCATTTGTGCTCATTACTGTCCCACAAAGGTCAGAAAGAAGCTTAGATGTCATTTCTCTATGACTAGCCTTTCCCTCCAATGCCAAGGACACTGCCAACACTGGTACTCCACTTTTCATTTCACCAAGATTTAAATCTCTCAGCATTTCCTATTAAAAAAAAAAACAAAAACTAAAAAGTATATGTCACTGCCTTTAATTCAATATAACTTTATTTTCAAAAATTCAAGATTTTATCCATATATCCTTACCTTTTTCCCGTTTGGTAATAGTAAGAAAAGCAGTCAAATTTTGTAGGATAGAAAAAAACACATCTTTCTGTGCATATAAAATTAGATATTGATCAACTCTGTAAAGCTTTTACTATCTGAACATCACTGAACTGAAGAATGTGAATTACACTTAAAACAATTAAACTACACATTGCAAATAAGTTTGTTGTTAGGAATTAATTAACCCTGCATCTTATAATTTTTTTTTTCCTATTTAAGTAATCTCTATACACAACATGGGGCTCAAACTCAGGACCCCCAAGATCAAGAGTCACGTACCCTTCCAACTGAGCCTATCAGGTGTTCCTAATTTCTAGGAATATTCGTCTATGAATATTTTTGGTGAGATTCATTTTACATTATTATAAATTGTTTATACTCTACTTTTCCTCAGTTTTCTCTTCCCACTATGGTTTATACTGTTCATAAGGTTTAAAAGGAGATCTTAAACTACTGTTTTTAAGTGGTATTATTTCTTTAAATGCTGGGATTAAGTTGAAATTTCCTATTAAAAATATAATAGCAGCTGCTAATACTAACTACTGTATATAATGTAGCAAGCATTGTAACAGCCACTTTAGTTTTTATTATCTTATTTAAGACTCAAAACAACCCTTTCAGGGAGGTATTGTCATCATACCCAAAGCAAAATTAAGTATTTACTGAGGACATAACTGGAGTGGCCAAGTTGAAAGTGGAATAGTCAGTTGACCCTATAAGACTTCTAACTCAGTTACTTAGAAGGCCTTCCTTTTTATTTACAGGATGCCAGGTTTAAATACTCAGGGTACTTAAACCATGTTATACTACTAAAAGGGTGCCAGAACTATTTTCATAGCCACCTATCTGATGTCCTTGTTAGCAGTCTCTTCCCACTGAATTTCCTCTTTCCTGGACTGTGCTTGAACAACTCATTGCTTTTATTTATTTTTTTTAAGGAAGATTTATTTATTTGACAGAGAGAGAGACAGCAAGAGAGGGAACACAGGCAGGGGGAGTGGGAGAGGGAGAAGCAGGCTTCCCACCAAGTAAGGAGCCCCATGTGGGGCTCATAACCTGAGCCCAAGGCAGACGCTTAACAACTGAGCCACCCAGATGTCCCTAACTCACTGCTTTTAAACAAGATACTTCTCTCTGGAAAACTCTTCAACCATCTTGCCCTGTCAAGTTTCTAATCATTCTTATATAACTCAGAATCATCTTTTCTATTACTCTCTATTTTATGCTTCCCTAACATTCTGCTTATAGTACTACTCAGTTAATAAATACATATTATACGTCTAGTCCCATGCTAGGTAGATAGGATTTTAATAGTCTACCCTTACAGGACTTAAGCTCTTCCTCTACAATAGAAGGCTTCACATTATATATATCACTTCCCTGACTGAGCTTCATAAAGGAATCACCTATTACAAATTCCTTCACATGGTATGCACTGAACAAATACTGGTTTTATATTTAAGTCCTACAAATCTAAGGATATCAGACCTCATGGTATCAGACAAACCAAGAAAGCCAGTCTGAAGTATAAGAGTCTAAATTGTAAAAGCCTTTTAAAGAGTTGCAATTAAAAAAAAAAAGAAAGAAAGAAAAAAAAAAGACATTTGTTCTCTTGGTTTCTGTACACATTCTTATTCAAATCTTTATATCCATGTTTTCTTTCTTGGACATAACACAAAGATAAATTTTATCTTAATCCTGAGCATGGAAATAAACGTCAAAAAAAACAGAAATCAAAACATTTTTAACCAAGATCCCTGAAGAGGTTTGAGAAAATCCATAGATGCTAGCAACTATTATAATTCTATACAATTTAATTACAAAAATATATAATTACAAAAATTATTAAAATATTACTGTGCCATTTTTCAGGGAAAGAAATGGCATATAGTCCTCATCACATCCCAAGTAGGAAAGAACTAATCCATATTAAGGAAATTTTACTCCATGTCTTAGAAATTCATTTATGCCAAAGAAAATGCTTAAACTTAATTCAGTGATCCAAGATCATTTTGGATATGATGTTCTGCTTTTAATAGTGTTTTCTTTCCTATATTAGATAAATCATACTTGCAATTTTAAACCTACCGCAACTTCATTAGTATCTCCATGCTCAAAATATTCTTGTATGATTGGTGTTAAAGTCTTCTCAAATGCTGTTTCATCCAAAGGCAAAACTACAGTTTCATAAACACAGTTCTCCTAGAAGGGAAAGGAGGTGAAAGAGTTTATAGATTAATGAACAAAATATTCATATAAACTGAAATGTTTTTATTTTTATTTTTTTAGAGAGTAAGCGAGCACGGGGTGGGGGTGGTCAGAGCGGGGGAGAGAGAGGAATCTTAAGTAGGCTCCATGCCCAGCAAGACCCTGATGCAGGCTTGATCTCACAACCGTGAGATCATGACCTGAGCCAAAATCAAGAGTTGGACATTTAACTGACTAAGCCACCCAGGCGCCCCTAAAATTCTGTGTTTTTAATTTTATATTCTGACTTAAAATTTAAATATAAATTACATAAACATAAATTACATATTCCAACTTAAAAATTAAATATAAAATATAATTTTATGTTTTTAATTTTGTATTCTGACTTTATATTCCAACCAATTTTTTATTCCACCCTCATTCAGGGCAAGAAAAAGATATGTTACATGTTTTGATCACTGATACTAAAACAGAATCTATGTCACTGTTCTTTTACAAATTTGAATAAACTAATAACAGAGATTAGAACCATTAACCACAACCCGACATTTTGTTAATTTTTTATCTCTCTCACAAAAACAATCCTTCATTGACCAAAAAGCTTTAAGATGGCTTCCTATAGGTCATACCTAGTATTCTCATTAAAACTTCACTTTAAAAGGGGCACCTGGGTGGCTCAGTGGGTTAAAGCCTCTGCCTTCAGCTCAGGTCATGATCCCAGGGTCCTGGAATCGAGTCCCACATCGGGCTCTCTGCTCAGCGGGGAGCCTGCTTTCTCCTCTCTCTCTGCCTGCCTCTCTGCCTATTTGTGATCTCTCTGTCAAATAAATAAATAAAAATCTTTAAAAAAAAAAAAAGAATCCGGTCTTTAAAAAAAAAAAAATGGATGGTGGTACCTGGGTGGCTCGGTCGGTTGAGTGTGTCTACCTTCAGCTCCGGTTGTGATCTTATGACCTCGGGGTCCTCGGAATCAAACCCCACATCTGGCTCCCTGCTCAATGGAGAGATGGCTTCTCCCTCTCGATTTGTTCCCCCCACCCCCCGGCTTGTGTTCTCTCCCAAAGTACTGATAAAAAATAAAATTTAAAAAATAGACTTCATGATTAGTATGGTAACAGAAGTCCTTATATAATAAGAATCAATGTCATAGTGACTAAAAAATTCTCTGAGAGTGCCTGGATGGAGTTGGTTAAGCATCTGCCTTTCGGCTCAGGTCATGATCCCAGCCCAGGTCCTGGGATCGAGTACCACATCAGGCAATAAGCCTGCTTCTCCCTCTCTCCTCCCTGCTCATGTTCTCTCTCTCACTCTCAAATAAATAAATAAAAGTACTTTTTTTTAATTTTAAAAAATAAAAAATCTCTAAAGAAAAGCAATATTCAGCTAAAATTTCAAAAAAGGAAGATTACTCTCAATTTTCTCTCCCATTTGTCCTCTGAAAACACCCAGAAGTGGTTATATGCACCTTGTGATTAGTTTCTAACAAAATACACTTGAAAGACTGTATGTTAAGATTAGAGTATTTTGCAATGATTCTATAGTATTTGAATCCTACATTTTTTCCTATTTTCAGAAATATTTCCATGTCCAATAATTAGCTAAAATAGGTAAGTATATACAATCATATGGAATAAAAACAATGTAACATACACCCTGATAATTTCCTGTCTAAAATTCTCATCACCATGTATTATCTCTTGTAAGACAGTACTTTAAAAAATATGTCATAATGTCCAGGATTTGTTTCAAAAAAAACGGGGGGGGGGGGGCGGAGGGGTGTTGTGCATGCAGGGTGATACAAAAGGAAAAATAAATGGAGGTACAGGATTAAACAAGATTGACCATGAGTTATTAATTACTGAAGTTGGTATAGCTGGGAGAGGAGTACAAGCATGTTCATTACACTATTCCACTTTTGTATAAATTTAAAATTTTCCATTAAAAAATAAATATATACATGTTCACTATAAAATCTATTAAAAATGTACATTCTCGGGGGCGCCTGGGTGGCTCAGTGGGTTAAGCTGCTGCCTTCGGCTCAGGTCATGATCTCAGGGTTCTGGGATCGAGTTCCGCATCGGGCTCTCTGCTCGGCGGGGAGCCTGCTTCCCTCTCTCTCTCTCTCTGCCTGCCTCTCCGTCTACTTGTGATCTCTCTCTGTCAAATAAATAAATTAAAAAAAAAAATGTACATTCTCATGGATGAACCTAAGTGAAATGAGACTGAGGAAGACAAATACCACATAATTTCACTCATGTGGAATTTAAAACAAAAACAAATAAACAAAAAGAATCAGACCTGTAAACACAGAGAACAAACTGACAGTTACCAGAGGGGAGGGGCAAGACTGGTAAAGGGGAGTAGGAGATACAGGCTTCCAGTTATGGAATGTGTAAGTCATGGGAATAAAAGGCACAGCATAAGAAAAACAAAATTTACATTCTTAACATTGAAAAAAGATAGTCACGTTCCCAAAATAAAATTTACCACAGAGTTACCATCCTAAATAGTAGTATTTTAAAAGAAGCCTAATATCTATAACTCTTTAATGATGTTCAAAAGAATATATATTCTTCTCAATTATCATTACTATAGAAATTATATTAACAGAATTTATTGAAAAACAGTCTACTTAGGGGTGCCTAAGTGGCTCAGTCAGTTAAGCATCTGACTCGATTTCAGTTCAGGTCATGATCTCATAGGTTTTGAGTTTGAGTCCCATGGTGGGCTCTACACTTAGGGAGCCTGCTTGAAGATTCTCTCCCTCTGCTCCCTTCCCAGTCTCTTTCTCTCTCTCTCATAAATATTTAAAAAAAAAAACAGTCAACTAAGCACCTCAGTGGCTTAGTTGGTTAAGCATCTGCCTTTAGCTCAGGTAATGATCCCAGGGGCCTGAGATCAAAACCACACTGGGCTCGCTGCTCAGCAGGGAACTGGCTTCTCCCTCTGCCCCGCCCCCCAACTCTGCCTCAAATAAATAAAACCTAAAAATAAAAATTAAAAAATTCAATCATCCTAAATCTGTAACGACTATTTTTGACTCATTTCAGAAATGAAATGAAAATTACGCATATATCATTATCAGTTAATTTGATTTCCTAATCCAAAATTTACCTTAAAGTCCAAAAGGACTGAGTATATGTATGATTTAGACATAAATACTAATGTTTGTATATACATACACACACGTTATGTGTATATCTATACACACACACATGCTATAAATCATATATACATGATTTGACAGGCACAGAGTATAGATATAGAATGTATAATTTGACAAATGTGTAAGTAAACTACAGACAAGAAGTCAAAAAACTTACAGACTAAAAAAATAAAGTAAAACATTGATACCTGGTCATCATCATAGTTAGGATCTTTCACATCTACCTCCTCCACATCATATACCTGTCCAGGTGTACCCCAGACACCTTTGCCTCCTGCACCACCTGAAAAAGTTTAGAATTGAGAAAGAACACAAAGTTCAGTTCATAAATTTTAATTGAATTCTAGATATTCAGATATTAATTAAATAAGTTAAAAAACTGCATTTAATTTCTATGCCAGTTTTTTCTCCAGTTGAATTATACTTTAAACCTCATTTTTTTTTGGATCACTGCTTTTTCAGTAATGATTAGATATTATATATTTTACAACCTATTTCTAAAACATCAAGTTGAAATAGCTTATAAAGTTAAAACTAAAAAAGCAGATGCTTTAAAATGAAAGCAGAAACAAAACAAAACAAGATCAGAAAAATATGTGTATCAGGGACTCCAAGGGGTGTGATAATGTAGCTGAGCTCTAAATTTTATTTGACATTTCATAATACCAAAACAAAAAGACGTATTTTGAGCCAATAAGATGTGGCATAGGAAAATCAGTAAGGGAGAAATTACTTAACAAAGAAGCACAGTTTCCACTCTAAGTGTTTCAAAGTCAAATACCCTTTAAATAGAATAGTACAGGGGCTCCTGGGTGGCTCAGTGGGTTAAGCCTCTGCCTTTGGCTCAGGTCATGGTTTGGGGTCCTGGGCTCGAGCCCTGCATGGGGCTCTCTGCTCGGCAGGGAGCCTGCTTCCCTTCCTCTCTTTTTCTCTGCCTGCCTCTCTGCCTACTTGTGATCTCTGTCAAATAAATAAAATCTTTAAATAAATAAATAGAATAGTACACATTAAACTATACTTGACAACTGGCAATATGCTACAAATAACTAAGCTATTTAAGCATTACCTGCACTGATCATTATTTCTCTGTACCTCTATTTATAAACTAACCAGCTGAAGTTTAACAATTCCAACTTTCGAAGTGGTTTTTCTATATAAACTTACTGAAATATTTTTGTAATGCTTAATACATTACATTATTTTTAAGGAACTCCTCAGTATCACCAATTTTTTTGAGGGTTTTTTCTATCAAGACTAGAGCAAAGCAGAATCTGATTATTAGGATTCATTTTGATGTAACCAATGGTTATAAAGCCATTCAACAAAATAACAGTTTTTGACTGACCACAAAAACATTTAACAAGAATCCTAGGCTATAAATTGAAGTTCACACCATTCAGAAGCTGTGAAATCTTCAAATTATATCAAAATCCTACCACAGACCAAAGCTAACATTCCTCATCAACAAACACTTAAGTATCTACAACTGCTAGTCATTACTCCAGGCACTGGATATAGCAGTGAAAAAATAGACCATTCCTGGGGTGCCTCGGTTAAGTGTCTGCCTTCGGTCAGGTCATGATCCTGGGGTCCTGGGACATCCAGGTCCTCACTGAGCAGGGAGTCTGCTCAAGGATTCTTTCTCCCTCTGCCTCTCCCCCTACTCATGCTCTCTCGCTCTCAAAATAAATAAATATAATCTTTAAAAAAAAAAAAAAAAAGGGATCATTCCACTCCAGTATCCAAGAAAGAACTGAAGAGTACTTGGGGGGCTCCTCACTGGCTCACTTGGTAAAGCATGCAACTCTTGATCTCAGGGTTGCAAGTTTTAGCCCCATGTTAGGTATAGAGATTACTTAAAAAATAAAATCTTTTATTCATTAATTGAATGAATGAATGAATGAATGAAAAGAAAGAAACGAACAAAAGAATGCATGAACTCGGAACCATCTATGAAATCATTAAAATTCTGATCCACTTATTACCAATCCAATATATATTTATCCTATATTTTTAACAAAGGACATAATTACATTCATTAGATAGTACATATAATGCATTTTTTAAACTTTTATTTATTAAGTAATCTCTACCTGCCATATGGGGCTCAAACTCATGACTCCAAGATCAAGAGTGACATACTCCACTGACTGAGCCAGCTAGGTCCCCCAGGTAGGATGAATTTCTGACCCTACTTTCAAGCAAAGTTAGAGAATACAATGCACAATTCACAACTGTACAAAAAATTCATGTGTATTTTGCTGAAAATAATAAAGTTATGCTCAAGAAAACAATCTCCTCCAGAAAAAAAGCTCAACTTAAATTAAAAGTGTGATGGTCCTCAGATTATTACTTTGTAAATACATACACAAATCATAAAATCTTACATTATCAATGTTTAAATTTCTCACATTCCTAGAACAAGGAAACCATAGTTTAAGTATCAGGCCATATTGTATTCTACTTGCTTCTTTGTACTTGGAATACACCAACCTTTCTTTGGTAGTCCCCTTCCTTTGCCAGATCTGGATCGCCTATCTAGCAACCTTCCCTTTGGACTGGTTGGTACAGTTACTCCACTTCTAAGGGCTTCACTTCCATTATCACTGACTGAATCGCCTCTGCCAGAGTCCCGGGATGAGTTTTTCCTCAGGCGCCTTTTTGCCTTGGCATTAATTCTAGCTTCATTAATGGAGGATGCGGAAATCCAATTTCCATTTATCTCATTTTTTATTTCTTCAGTCCCAGCATTTTCTTCATCACCGGAAAAGAGAGAGTCGCTTAAATTATCAGGATCTTAAAGAGGAAAATGAAGAAAGAAAATTCTACATTAAGTACTTTGTTATACCAGTTATCATCGTAAGTTATATTAGGTTGAATCACATGAAATTACTGTTTTTTAGGTAACAGTGACATATTGACAATTTATATGATTTGATCTAATAAATAACAAAACAGAATTACTTTTCACATTATCACAGAAAGTAAACTAAGTTAATTTTGTTGAGCGAAGTTTAATGAAAGCACGTTATCTCCTATGTTTAGAAAATAAAATCTATGTTAATATACAACCACAGACGAAACCTTTAGACTTTTGTGAGCGAAGAGAGTTAAGCAATTGGAAACAGTAAGAAAATACTAACAATCTTGAACAGAAGAAAGATAAACTAATATTTACAGAATTCCTACTATTATTTATCTGGCACTGTGCTGGATGTTTTGTCATTTACCCACAAGTTTGAGAGCTATTTACTACATAAAAGATCATTAATACAGATAAGGAAACTAAGGCTGATAGTGTTTAAATAACTTGCCAGAAAACTCATTAATTAATTATAGACACTTAGGAAATATTACTAATCCAAAGAGCCTGAAAGGTATTTGGCAAATAAATGATTACATATAATTACTGAGCTTAACTGCTAAGGATTCACTGCTTTCAAATGTAAAGCGGGGGGGGGGGGGGGCTTGCTCTCAAAGCTCTAATTCACTTCTCCAAACGACTCATATTATGTATCACCTTCTGACAATCTTCCAGACTATTTAAGATTTATACATTATTCCCTGAAAGACAGCAACACATTTGGAGTTTCCAATGGTCCCACTGTATCCTTTAGGATACACTCAAGTTTTATTTCCTCCATAAAAACTTTTCTAACAATTCTAGCCACAATACTACTAATGCGCACACACAGTTCATTTACCACGTAAGAAACAAACCACTTTGCTATTTCTAATTTATGTAGCAGTCTTGCTTTTCCAAGTAAGTCATAAGTCTCAAAAGAGGAACCATGCCTTTATTTGTACTTCTCTGTACCCTCAGCACCCAACAGAGCATAATTCATACTATCAACTCAAATGTTCATGGAGATCAATGGCATGAATACAGCTGGCTTTGCTTGTAAAACTTCCTAAGTCAGTAAACTACTGAATTAGTTACCCTTGGGCCACAGTTTTGTTCATTATGGCTAACTCAAGTCAGAACTGAATCCCTCAAATGGTTTTACATTTCCTACATGTAATTAAACTGTGTCAAGTCTATGTGTATAGGCTTTAACTTGTTTTAAGATAATATGTTGAAACTGAAAATTTATTAAAACAACCTGTAAGAAAGAGATGTGCTGAAATCTTTGTAATTCTTGACAAAAAGTCTAAAAGTTAAGAACATTATGGTAATCAAAAAACAAACATTAAGTAGAGTCCAATTACATCATTAGTCTCCTAAACAGTCTTTGTGCTTTCAATCTTCAAACCATTCTCCAAACTGCATGAAAACTGATTTTCTAAAACATGCCTCCACTCAAAACCCGTTGAAGGTATTCCCATTGGGTCAAAATAAAGTTTAAAACTCATTACACCTTGTAATTTAAGAGCCTTCATAATCTTGCTCCGGCTTACATCATCAGAGTAACTGCTGACCGCTCACATTCAAAGGGTCAGAGCTTCGGTTTGGTATCACAGGTAATAATGGAAGGGATTAGTTTAGCGTAGAAATACAGAATATATTAGGGAAAAAAGAAAGTATAAAATGAAGACCAGCGAAGAAAAGGTTACAATAATTCATTCACTAACTGAAAAGATCAAGGGTAAAATTTTGGGGTAAATAAGCAAGCAACAATCAAAAAATAAAAGAGTTTTTAAACAGAAGCAGCATGAAATGTAGTCTTAAAAATGTAGTCTTAAAAAGTTTTTAGACTAAGACAAGAAGTTAGAGGGTGAGTTTGAGACATCATCACAACCATCATCATAACTAAACTACTAGTAGCAGTAGCTGTCATAGCAGGAGTGCAACTTCCTTTGTCATTACCATCATTGTTGTTACTACTAGATACCAGGTTCTGTGCTAGGCACTTTACATACATGGTCTTTAATCTTCACAAAGCTCTATCATAAAGCTGTTTATCCTCAATTTACAGAGAGAAATGTTTCATGGAAAAATTACATTATCTAAAATGGACTGTGGCCAGGATTCAAATCCACATTTAAATCTCCGATGATAACTATAGAAAATACAGAGCTAGAGCAGAGCAGAGTAGTGACAGCTAAAGAGACAGGACATGGGAATGATCACAAAGAGAGAAAAGCGGAAGAGTAAGAGGAAGGAGAAAAAAATGACCAGAGATCAGATAAGTCAGATGTAATTTCAAGTAAGAGCAGGCAGTTGAAGAAAACATTAAACATCTACCTGTAACATACTGCTTTCATTATTCTGTAATTACGGAAAACCACTAAACTCACCCAGATGATAAAGGACTTCAAATTACAATAAAATGCTTTATACTATCACTTGGAGTACTGAAGTATTCAATTTCAATATATGTCCCACAACTGAGTTTCAGCTATTTTAATATCCTTTCAAATATGTTTGTATGTTTTATCTATTAGATCTTATAATTTTTAACCTATGTTTCCATCAACTACTCTTTTGTATTTTGCTGTTCATATTTACCTAGTCTTTTTTTTTTTTTTAAAGATTCATTTGAGAGAAAGAAAGTGCACACACTCGTAGGGGGTGCAGGATGGAAAAGGGAGAGATATCTTCAAGCAGACTCCCCACTAGCATAGAGCCCAATGTGGAGCTCAATCCCAGGACCCTGAGATCATGACCTGAGCTGAAATCAAAAGTTGGCCACTTAACCGACTAAGCCATCTAGGTGCCCTGTATTTGCTCAGGTTTCAGGGTTCCATAACCACCACTGATCTGACTTTAAGAAAACCAAAATACAAAAGATAAAAAACCTGAGTACATAATGTGGTGACTTCAAAATTGTTTTCCACTGTGTACTAATTCCCCTTCTAAATTCTCTAGCAACTCAGTAGTAACCAATGTAACTTCCAGTATCACAGTAACAATCAAATTTTCAACTAATGGTCCACTGACTGACATAATCAGAATTAACAATATTAGCACATTTTCATTTGTTACATACAAAGAAAGTGCTACGGGCATGACTCACATATACTATAATCTCATTTAATCCTACTGATAAACCTATGGAGAGGGCATTTATACCCCAGTTTTATACAACCTGAGAAAACCGAAGGTCAGAGCAAATAACCTACTTCTCCAAAGTAACAGAGCTGGTCTAAGTAGAAGTTGAAATTAATACACTAGTCTGACTTGAACTATTTGATTCAGGAAGAATTTATAGCAAAGGTCTGTCTTAGGCCCATCCAAGTACTGAAGAACTACAAGTCCTTTATATTAAGGCAGTTCTGGCCAGAGGCATCGTGTCTGTGAGTCATGCTGTCTCACAGAAATATAACGCAGGCCGAACAAGTAATTTTAAAGTTCCTAGTATCCATATTAAAAAGAAACAAGTGAAATTAATTTTAATATATTTGATTTAATCTACTAGACCTGTTATAGATTTTGGAAGGCAGCTATGCTCACCACTATACCACCAACGCCTGTTATAGATTTTGAACACAGAGTCAATATAAAAACTTAATGAGGGGGCGCCTGGGTGGCTCAGTGGTTAAAGCCTCTGCCTTCGGCTCAGGTCATGATCTCAGGGTCCTGGGATCGAGTCCCGCATCGGGATCTCTGCTCAGCAGGGAGCCTGCCTCCTCCTTCTGTCTCTCTCTACCTGCCTCTCTGCCTACTTGTGATTTGTCTGTCAAATAAATTAAAAAAAAATCTTTAAAAAAAAAAAACTTAATGAGGTATTTCATTCATCCTAAGTCTCAAAATCTGGATGTGTCTGCACCTACAGTATATCTCATTTCAGACAAGTCATATTTCCAGTGCTCAATAGTCACACATGGTTAGTAGCTATCACACTGGGCAGTACAGAAAAGCAGCAATTACCTATATGTGAAATATATTCTTAAAATATATTCTTACCAAACCCACTTCAATGAAGCAGGGATATGATATCCATTTATAACCCTAAAAACAAGTATTCACATAGCTATTGTATATAGCAGCACCAAAATAATCATTAATTATTGCAATAATTTTTTTCAACTATAATTTTCTAGCACACTTTAAATCAGGTGTATAAATACAAAATGGCAAAGAGGTTTCAACTTCAAAGTGTCTGTTCAGATCAAAGAAAACTATATAATTTGTACAAAATGAATGAGTCATTGAAAAAATAATACTATTATAGTGTTAAAAAATGAAATATGGGGGTGCCTGGGTGGCTCAGTGGGTTAAAGCCTCTGCTTTCGGCTCAGGTCATGATCCCAGGGTCCTGGGATCGAGCCCCGCATCAGGCTCTCTGCTCAGCAGGGAGCCTGCTTCCTCCTCTCTCTCTGCCTGCCTCTCCGTCTACTTAAGATCTGTGTCTGTGTATCTACTTAAGATCTGTATCTGTCAAATAAATAAATAAAATGTTAAAAAAAATGAAATATGATAAAACATACCAATAGGAAAAGCTCTCACCATTCAGGATACCTCAAAATCCTATGTAAGATTTTTCTGAAAGTTATAAATACATTTTAAGTTTTCTGAAGTTACTCAACATTTAAACCTCTATTCCACAGAACTTTTTTTTTTAAAGATTTATTTATTTGACAGATAGAGATCATAAGTAGGCAGAGAAAGAGGAAGGGAAGCAGGCTAGCAGGGAGCCTGATGTGGGGCTTGATCCCAGGACCCTGAGATCATGACCTGAGCTGAAGGCAGAGGGTTTAACCCACTGAGCCACCCAGATGCCCCCCACAAAACTATTTTTATGATAAGGTGCTACTGAAGCACCATGGAAAATCAAGAAAAATACTATAGATAATAGAACATATAAATTATTAATTAGGAAAGAGATCGAGGGGTGCCTGGGTGGCTCATGGGTTAAGCCTCTGCCTTCGGCTCAGGTCATGATCTCAGGGTCCTGGGATGGAGCCCCACATCGGGCTCAGCAGGGAGCCTGCTTCCTCCTCTCTCTCTGCCTGCCTCTGCCTACTTGTGATCTCTGTCAAATAAATAAAATCTTAAAAAAAAAAAAAAAAGGAAAGAGATCGAAAACACCGGTAAGTTTGTATTATAGAAATCACTAGCTCATTTGAAAATATCAGTGAACAGGTTTACTATTCTTCTCCATTCTGTACCTTACAGTTTATTATAAAAAGTGGAGAATAAGAATGTATGGAATGTGAAAGGATGGGCAGAAAGATAAGGACATGTGAAGAATTTCCATAAAAATAAGAATTACAGGAGCACCTGGGTGGCTCAGGTCATGCATGATCCCAGGGTCCTGGGATGAAGCCCCACATCGAGCTCCTTGTTCAGCAAGGAGTCTGCTTCTCCCTCTTCCTCTGCCCCTCTCCCCCAGCTTGTTCTCTCCCTCTCAAATAAATAAATATTTAAATAAAAAAAGAATCCCAAACTTGATTTTAAAAATAACATAATTCACTTTCTTGAAGCATGAATAAGATGGTTTTAAAGTAAAAAGATGGTTTTAATACTATGTTTTCATAAAATTTTGTAGGACCTCAAATATGCTCACAGTACAGTCAAGGTTCAAAATATTCTTGCTTACCTGCAGGGTTTACATTCAGTATTTGCTCATTTTCTACATCCATAGTTCCTTAATGTCGCTTGCACTGATTAAATTATTAATGGAAGTCTTCCCTTGGGATCTATTTCCTTAAAAAGAAAAAAGTTTCAGTATCTTCCAAACTGATATAATTAATAAATTGAATTTACTTAATCACTGTAAAAAAAAATCAGCACATAATTTCATTTTTTGAAAAAGAGTTCTATTTTGAAAAATAGTTTACCACTATTAACATTTGGTTTCAATCTTCCTGACAAGTGTACCTTTGTCCAAAAAAAAAAAAAAAAAAAAAACCATATTTCTGAGTGTGCCAAAGCATTCCTTTAACTTGGAAGTAAAATTAAAGCAGTATACACATACTCCAAATTTTTTAGGACTACCAGGCTTCATAATTAATCTGATATACATTAATACTGGCTAATTCACTACAAATGAATTTTAAGAACTACTACAAAATGCAAGGAACAGTTTTAATCAAGCATTATGACATGACTGTATTAATTTTTCACATTGTAACATATCTGAAGGCAGATAGGTCTGCCATTTCATTACCTAGGTGTCCATAATTATAAGACTTTGAGATTGGGAGAAATTTTTGTAAATGTTGTTTTCTACAATGAGAATATTATTTTCATAATCTAAAAAACCCATTCCTTTTTTAATTTAAAGAAAATTTGAAGATTTTATATTTGAGTAATCTCTACACCCAATATGGGGCTCAAATTTATAACCCTGATATCAGGAGTTGCATCCTCTACACACTGAACCAGCCAGATGCCTCCCCCATTCTCTTTAAAAAATAAAAAGTAAACAAACAAAAAAACTTGCCTTCAAAAAAGAAATAAGTACAATGACATTAGCATCTCAGTATTATAGACCTCAGTTCTAAAATGGCTTAAAAATTATTAATGCTGAAGGTTTTGATGAAATCAGTTACCTCTTATTTAACTTAGTGATATAAATCTGTTACTTGAAAGACTATAAAAATATATTTTCATGGAAACTATTACCAGAAGGTGTAACCAAATGATTTTAGAATCTCTCTGCAAATATTTTTAAAATAATGGCTTACAGTACTTAACCACTGATCTGTTCACATCATATAGGTTATATATAAGCCTTCCCAATCATTTCACTAGCAATATGCTTTCAAGATATAAAATGCACAAATTAATGAAAATGACTAATAAACTAATTGCAGAAAAGCATACCTTTCTCATATAACAACCTATTTTAAATGTCATTTTATTAATAATATCAATAAATATAAACAATTATTCATAATAATTATATTAATATAAATTATAAATTAATAAAACTAGTTAATAATAATAATAATATGTGATGCCTTCTGGGACTCAACTTTTTTTTTTTTTTTTAAGTAAACTCTAGGCCCAATGTGGGCCTCGAACTCATGACTCTGAAATTGAGTCACATGCTCCACCAACTGAACCAGCCAGGCACCCCTCAACTAACTTTTAAATTCCTTAATATTTACTATTTTAACATCTAAAAGGTTTATAGTCCTTTGATCCAGAAAAGGGTATTATTTTGTAAAAGAAAAATACACACACCTTAATGCTAACCATGATAAAACTTAGTAAGGCATAATCCTTAGGCTACCAGGATGCTATCATACCACTTCAGAAGTTAAGAAAATGGTGGGGTTATTCTAATTCTACTCAGAATACACAGACTTATGTAATTCTATGTAATGACTTTTCAATATCATAATTTCCATCAACTCTGGATTTAGGGGAAAAAATTACCATTAAAGATATGCATATAGAGATTTATATAAATATATAAGCAAAAATAGTTTGGAAACCTAGGCACTTCATGTTTTTCATGTCTGAAAATGCCTTATGTTTCATTTTATATGAGTTACATATTATAGGACAGTGAAAACATCTTATGATGTGAGTATGAGCTTTTTAAACTAGAATTACATTGAAGTCTGTCAATACTTTCTGCAGAACCTAGCTACTAAAGGAAATGAAATTATTTTAACTGGTGTTTATAAAGCCTTTTATACTTCACAGAGAATTTTATAGGCATTATTTCATGTCCGTCTCAAAACAACCTTGACCTATTTACTCCACTCTGCACACAACTAAAATTCAGAGAAGGTAGATGATCTGTCCAAAGACGGTGCTCAGTGAAAAAACCAGAACCCAGACCTTCTCAACCCAGTACTGCTTGCACAAGTTCAATGTAAGATTTTAATATCCCACAAGAAGATTCTGTTTTAGGGCTAACAGACAGAAGCTTATTAAAACACAGACTCTTACTGTTATATCAAATCTTTAAATATTACTTTCCAAACACTAAAAATATTTATTTTAAACTATTACACAAAAGACATTGTTGGGCAAAGAAAATTATTAAGTATGACTATTATCTAGAACTTACCATATTTGTTTTTATTTAGTAATCCTAAGGGAGCAGGGAGACTTGTCTGTGTCTTTAGGCAATGATAAAGCAATCAAGAACTCAGTCACACTTGATGGCAACACAGACATTTTAAGAATTTAGAGAAAGATAAAGATACATTGCATGTTTTTCCTTTCCTCAAAGTAGTGGAGCTTTTTTCCAGTTTGCAACAATCGGTAAGATTTTTGCCCCACACTTAACTACATAAAGCAAAAATTCTAAATGCCACATGCTTGAAACTAAACAATAAAATTTTCCATAAGAAAACAAAAGCATTCATAGAAGTTTGACAAAAATTAAGGCTAACATTAAACAGTTTTCATTTCTTCAATGGGTTTTACAGAAACATACAACCAGAAACATTCACATGCCATGACATTCCCCAGGAGATAGAACTACCCCTTCCCACTAGCCCCCACCCCAAAAATCTGTTTCCTGAAATAGACCTCATAAACCACTCTGACAGTTTCTAGTCAAGTTTAGGCCATATGTTAACCAGAAAATTATTTGTTTTCATTCCAGGGTTACAATACAGCTAATTAGCAACTTAAAATCAGCTAAAAGTATTCAACCACGCTGATGCAAAAGCTGCGCAGAAGACATCAAAGTGTCATTTATTTTTGCACACCCAGCAACTATTTTTTTCTTTTCATTACTACAACAGAAGAACCAATCAAAATATAATTCAAAGATCGCTGCTGAAATAGTAAGGAATTTAAGAAACCTATAATGAAGGAAAGTTAAGGGCAAATACCAATAATTAAAACGTATTTGCAGTGCTCCCCTTTTAGAAAAGTATACGGTGGTTTCTAAGGAGGCTTACATTAGTAAGAATGCCAAAATTCTAAAACAGCAGTAAAAATACAAGTAAAAACAGGCGGTGACTTTTTGTTCACACGAAGCTGCATTTTTGATCGTTTTAATCACTGCAGATACTGCACAGTTGCTGGTCACACAGCCAGTTCTCACAAGGGTATGCGAGAAGGGAGAGACCGACTTCTGCAGTTTTCGAAGCGCGGGGCGGGGGGAGGGTGGGGGGGTACAGGACCCCTCCCCGTGTACACTGCAGCACCAAACTGACGAATGCAGCAGAAACGGCCTGCGTTTCACAGAAAGAGGGCTCCCTTCTTGTCTTTGTTGTCCCTGGGAGATTTTCACTTAAACCGAAAAAGCGACCCTTCGCCCGAAGTCCGCGCAGGGCCGGGGAGGCCGGCACGTGTCCGCCTCCCAGCGGCCCCTCCCGCGGCGGCTGGCTTTCCTCCCCGCCGCGGGCGCAGGCCGGGACCCCGCGGACCCCAGTCCCGGCCCGCCCCGGGGGATGCTGGACCAGAGCGGCCGGGCCTGGGCTCCGGAGCGCGGGCCGGGGTCTGGGAACGCTGGGTCGGGGCCCTCCAGGGAGACCAGGAGGGCGGGGAGGGCGCGAACCTTCCTCACAGGATTTCAGTCACGCCAGAAACACGCCTCCCGACGTCCCCCCTCCAAGTAAAAATGAGAACTCGGCCTTAGCGCGGATGAGGAGCAGCCCCTCGCTGGCGAGCGCCCCGCGCACTCTGCTCAGCCGGGAGAGGGTCCCGGAGGGGGCGGGCCCGCGCCGCCGCACTCTGGGCCTCGGCCCGGGAGGGAACCGGAGCCCGCCCTCCGCATCCCGGGGCGTTGGGCGGCCGCGGCCGGACTGCCTGCGGGGCTCCGAGGAGGAGGCCGGACCCTCGCCCACCCGAGCCGGCCCCGACCCGAGCCTGCTGCGGTCTCGGGCCCCCTCCCCCTCCCAACGTGCGGCTGCCTCCGAGGAGAGACGGGGGCTGAGGGCAGTCGTTCTGAGCTTGCGAGCCGCCCCGCTGGTACTGACCCCTCGGGCCGCCGCCGTCGCCACTGCTCGCCCAGGTCCCCCGTCCGCCGGCCGAGACCCGCTGCTCAGCCTCTGCCGCCGCCTCAGAGCGTCTCAGCCCCCTCTCGCTCTGTTTGTTTTTGTTTTGTTCTACCCAGTAACACGGGGGCGAGAGAGCGGCGTTTATTGGCCGAAGTGAGGAGGCCCGCTGGCCAATCGCGGCGGTGGAGCGGGAGGGGAGGAGGAAAAAGCGAGGGAAGTGAAACGTGGAAAGCTGAGTAGGGGCGCCGGAAGGCGCATGCGCGTCGGGGTCCTGGAACTAGCTGGCGTGGGAGACCAGCGGGAAGCTGGGGGCGGGAGGTTGGGAGGCGTGGCAGGATGGAAGCGTTGGCGAAAGGACTGTTCTTTGGGGTGAGGACCGGGCTGAGGCTGCCCTGACCAGCTCACTCCTTCCTCTCACAGAGCAGTCAGCGATCCCGGCTAAATGTTGGGCTTCTGGAGGGTCCCTTTCCTCCATTTCCAGATGCTCCTCAAGCGAACAACCTTAATCTCTACAGTTGCTTCTCCCGCGGGTCCTCTTCACTCCTTGGCTCCTACTGTGTACACTAAGAACTTTATCTCAGTGAAAGCCCGCATCCCTTGAAGATAGAAATCACTCCCATTTCATATATGAAGAAACAAACGCTCAAAAACTCTTTGAAGTCCCTGTGCTAATCATGACTAGTTAGGCTGCTGGGATTCAAACTCCCACAGTCCCGCTCCGGGACTGGGGTTCTCAATCATGGCTGTAACTTCTTGATTGAAACCTGTACCCCGCCTGGCTGTTGTTGGTGTCTCTCCTCTTGGCTGCATTCTCTTTGGCTTCTCTTGTGCTCTAATTCTTCCTCCCTCCCTATCCCCTGAGGAAATGACCAGAACCTTCTGCTGTCTGTTCTCTCGGGAAAGGGTTCAGCCATTATCTCTGGACAGATTTTCTGATTGTCTGATGTGCAACACCTAAATGGTCTGTTGGTCTTTTGGCAACCAAACTGCCTCCTCCCCCACCGGGGAGCTCCTTCCCCCGACTTAACCCCTTTCTGCCCACTCACCCTGCCTGAAAGTCATCTCTAATGGTATTATTTCTCTGAACAACGACAACAAAAACCCCTTTCAGTAGCTTCCCGTTGCCCCACTCAGCCAGGCATTCAAGGCCCCATGGTGTGACTTTCTGGCCTTTCAGACTTTCAAGACTTTCTGGTCATGTCTCCACAATCTCCCAATCCACACATGTCGTTGGCTGGAACCCACTTGGACTTCTCACTGTTCCATATGCTTCCCCACCTCCTGAGGGTTCTTTATCATATCAGCTTGAAATGCCTCTCTATCCCCCATCTCTGCCTGGTAAAATCCTAGCCATGCCTCGTGGCTCAACCCCACAGGCCTTCTTGAGCCTCCTGACTTGATGTGAATTTCCTGTCTCCTGATTCCCCCCAGTAATGACTTTTACCTCTGGGGATATTGAAACATTCTGCCTAGCATTATGTTATTTGAGTCCCTGTCCTAACTCTCCTCCCCATTAAACTGTCACCTTGTCAAAGGCAAGATTCCTGTCTTACTCATCTGTTATCATAGTGGGTCTTAAGAAGGTGACTTGCACATTTCCTGTACTGGCGCAATAAAGGTACCCTGATCTGAGTTCACAAAGTTTCTCAGCATTTCCTGCTCATTCCCACCTCCTGGGCAAGAGCCTCTTGGCATGTCCAGCATCTGAATTAGCCTTATGACTCACTTTTACTTTTTAAAAACAAAGCTTCCTGGTCACTCAGTTTTGTTTTGGTTTTGTTTTCTCCATCACCTGCAGCTGTCTCCTTTCTTTTCTCTGCCAGGCCTCATGGCTCCCCCACTGAGCAGTAACTCCTGACTCCTTTTTTTCACCCATCCCCCTTTCTCCACATTTTTTTCCTTTTCTCACTCCTTTGCAGTTCTTGATTCTTTCCTTCCTCCTCCCTGCCACCCACCTCCTCTGACTTTTTCTGGTTCTGTCCTTCCTTCATTCATTCATTAATACATTTATTAAGCACCTATGGCATATGCAGGCTGCACAGGGCAAGCACCCCAAGATCTATGAGATAATAAAAGAGTGGGATATGATTACCCATATTTAAAAGCAGCTAAAACAACCTAAAGCTTTTAGCAAATTATCCCAAAAGAACCCCTTATGGAGTAAAATGTTCATATCTATTTTACCCATCATCTCTATACATGATGTTTGGTGTCCCAGGACCCACCTTTGAGAATACTCCTTTAGCTGGGTGTGGCTGACCAGTTTAAACCAGACTAAAAAGAAATGGGATCCTAGTCCTAGTCCCCCCACTAGCTACCTGTAAGAACTTCAACCACTCTGAGGACCTCTGTTTTGTCACCAGTAAAATTCAAAAACCAGGTTCAATTAATAGTTCCCAAGGTATTTTCCAAAGAACATTAATTTTGTGGGACTTTAATGGATATCACGAGAAATATGTGGAAGGGACGTAATCAAACCAACTTGGAAAGAAATTGTTTTAACGAAGTTAAAGCTGGTTTTGGTGGGGGGCAACTCTTCTCAGTATTTTTTTTTACATTTTTTTTTTTAAGATTTTTATTCATTTATTTGACAGACAGAGATCACAAATAGGCAGAGAGGCAGGCAGAGAGAGAGAGGAAGAAGCAGGCTCCCTGCTGAGCAGAGAGCCCGATCTGGGGCTCGATCCCAGGACTCTGGGATCATGACCTGAGCCAAAGGCAGAGGCTTTAACCCACTGAGCCACCCAGGCGCCCCTCTTCTCAGTATTTTTAATAACTAATGAGTCTTGAGCATCTTGAGAGACCAGAGTAGGAAGCTAAGTAACATTCCCCAACCTATTTAAACACAGAGCTTTTTTTCCCCCCAAGATACCCCAGAAGCAGTGTTACTTAGAGACCAGTTTGGGAAATATAGATGATAGCCGCTACCATCAACATTCCTTCCAGATGTATTAAACACTGGCCACCTGCGCCTTTGCTAAACACTAAAAAATAAGAAGCTGAAAAATGGGAAATTATCCAAGTGCCAGGCATTTTTCCTCATCAAATCAATCCACAAATATTTATTATGTGCCTATTCTGTGAAAAACACAGAGCTGATCCAGCTGTGTTCTTGGCAAAAGACATTATGTTCTACCTTAGAGTAAGTAGTATCTGTAGCTTCCCAGGCTTCTGGACCACAATGGGCACTTTCATTTCACATTATAATTGCTCGCAACCCAACTTTCTGTTTCCTAAAGCCCTGTACTTATGGGCTTATGTTAACTTAGGTGTTGGATGAGAGAAAAGGAGGAAGCCCTTCATCTTAACTCATTCTGTCCAGAATGATGGAAGTTCAACTTTTATTCTAAGAATGACCCATTCCAACTTAGGATAGGATGGGCCACCACTGTTGTCTAGGATGAGACAACTGTTCAGAGGTGGCAACAGAGGCCGTGCTGGGTGATCAGGTACACATACATGATGTCTCTCCTCTTCCCAGTACCCCTCAGGTTTAATTAAGCATTATTGATTCCTCAAGGGACACCAAGAGTGTTTAATTTGTTAGGGTGTATGGAGGTGTGAGAGTGGAGAGTAGTTTCTAGTTTTTGTCTCTTAAGACGGGTTACTGTGTCTCTAACTAGCTGTGTTGCCTTGGGTGTTTCACTTCCCCTCTGGGTGGATTGAATGCCTCAGTCTTGCACCATCAAAGAAGGAGTTGGCCCCTACAGCGAGTCTTTAAGGAGTCATTCCAGTTCTGACACCATGATGCTGGGCAAGGC